GTAACATCGAATTGAAAAATAATTAAAACAGTAAAAACATTTCTATTTTTGTTGTGATTTCAAGCATAACTTCTAAAATTTGATAGATATGGGACATAGCTAGTGTAAATACAATGTAGTATCTATGCATTTTAATGCTTACTTGGGATGATGAAATTTAGCCAATTTTATAAGCGCGGAGCGAAAAACACACAACCATCTCATACGACTAAACGCGGGGTTGTACAGAGGCGCCCACGAGACTCGAACCTTGTCGAACGTTAACGAAGACATAGGAGTGCCGTTTGCACAAATACGAGCATTGGGAAAGTCCAGTTTAACACCGCTCCCAATACCCCACGTTCCCCTAATATCATTCAATTTGCACAAACTCGATTTACTTACAACAAATATTTATTATAGGCGGCCTCCGTGGACGAGTGGCTTGCACACCGATTTTCATGGTGTAGCCATCCCTGAGGTCCCGGGTTCGATCCCCGGCCGGGTCAGTGCAGAAACTAAATTTTCTATATTGTCTCTGGTCTAGGTGTTTGTGGTACCTTCTAATCGTCTTCTTCTCTCTCTTTGTGGTAACTTACTTTAGGATCAGGGAACGCATGTGATGTTGTCTAATATTTATTTACTTTTTTTTGTAAATAGTTCTTGTCCTCGATTTTCGGCGTTAATGGGTTCGGCGTTAACGTGGAAAACTGGCGTAAAAAAGCGCCAGGTTAAAACCAGGGTCTTGCTCATCTCTGTATATGAGTGAATGTATAATATACCTTCAATATTTGTATTACTAATGTTTGGCCAGGTACAGTGAAACTATATTAAATTTATTTTAATTTTGTCCTACATGTCAACTTCTATACAACCCGTGTTTTCACAAATTAGTTCATTATGAATTATTATCCATTCCATCGTGGTACAGTACCCCTCAGAGTTTTAAATCGCAAAGATCTAAGGGACTCTGCCACTGCGTCTCTCACCATGGGACATTAGTTGACAAGTCGCATGTGCCTGTAATTTCATCAGCACCCTTCAAAACCGGAACGCAGTAATGCTCACATAGCTGCTTGGCGGCAGAAACAGTTAAGGTGGCAGTACTTCCCTGAACGAACTCTTCACTACGTGTGGGTAGGCTACTATACGGTTTCCAATCAAGGGGATTTCCAGCTTGTTTGGCTATTCTTAATTGAATCAACAACAACATGATTAAATAAATTACTATAATCATTGTAGTTGTTGCTACAATCATTTTGATTACAACAAAAGCTGAATAATTACTCTAATGTAAACAAGTCATGTTATAAACTTTAAACAACATCTTGTATACAAAAAGGTAGCAAATACCAGAGCAAAAAGAACTAAACCCGATTAGGTTAGATATTATAGATGATAGGTAGGCTGTATGGTTCTTCTGGGAAGCAAACCGTCGGTCACCATGGCAACGAGTCGCATCAACACCACACACGTGTGAATGTACAGGTGACCTCGCGCGGGCTGGGACACAGTGAGATAGAGTTCCTATTCGAAACTCGTATAGTTTTTCATTGCGCTTAATATTGAGATTTTGCCGTGATGGCGACATTGACACGCTGTATCGAGTTGCGAAATTCCACCTACCTAATAGATATAAAATATAAATTGTTGCTTTTCTTAAATTTTTATTGAATTGATATTCAATTATTTTTTGTGAAATTACTCCACTAGTTTGTTATAATTATTAATACAAAGATCGAAGAAGACCAAGTACAAAGACACGACGCAAGCACATAGAAAAATTCGTGAGGTCCGTTGGTTCGTTCCGTGGCTTAGTTGGTATAGCGTCTGGCACGGTATGCAAGAAGACGTCGGTTCGAATCCGACCGGATCGAAGGATTTTTTTCTGAGTGTTCGATCTTTGTTGCTTTTCTATTAAAGTCCACATGTTCACTCTATTTTAGTGGCAGTAGAGCTAGCTCCTTGTGAAAGAGTTCATCCAGGAAAGTACTGGCACCCTACCTATTTCTGCCGTCAAATTGTACTACCTTGTCAAACCAATACGCTGTAAACTCACAATGTTTTGGTTTAACAGCGCTCATGTGATTTCTCTAGGCCTAATCTATTATACCCTTACATTTCAACTTTGGAGATGTGTGAGGTGTTTTTGAATGTGACATTAAAATCTAAAATACACTGTAAGTTTTAAAATTTAGACGCAGCAATAAAGTCTTTTGGTTTGACAATTGCACGCGTGAAATGCAGTATAGTGTTGCGGGGCGCATGAGTTAGCGAAAACTCTCAGATCGTGCAAAAGTCTCAGCAGCGGGGTTCTATTAACATTAGTCGCAGCTCAAATTGACATTCTATCGGGTCAAATCAAAAAATTGTAAGGTTCAATACGGTTTTTTGTAATTTCATAACAACAAGACTTTTTTTTATAACATCAAGTGACGGGACGAACACGTCATGCGCCTGATGGTAAGCTACATGCCTGTCCATAACAGTTACAGTGTCACTCAGAGCTTTAAATTGCAAAGATCCGAGAGGCACAACCACTGCGCCCGTCACCCTGAGACATAAATTGAAAAGTCCCGTGTGCCTGTAATTTCTCCAGCACCTTTACCCTTCAAAATCGGAACACAGTAATGCTGACATTACTGTTTGGCGGCAGAAATTCGTAAGGTGGCAGTGCTGCTCTGGACGAACTCTTTCACAAGAATCTTTCGGCTCTTAACGAGGGAAAACAAATTTGTTTTTCGATAAAAAAAACTTATATTCCTAAGTAAAATTATAATGGCTAGATAGATTTCTTTAATATCTAATGTACAACATAAGTTAAATGTATCTTTTTATGTTATTAACATTGACTTACAATTATATTTAAACTTAAATTAAATTAAAAATTAATTATATTTAAACTGCCTCTGTGGCCGAACGGTTACCATGCCGGACTGCCACGCGGAGGTCCCAGGTTCGATTCCCGGGTCGGGAGAAATATTTGTATGGCCTACATTTATTTCTCTCGTGAGTTTGGGTGTAATTTGTGGTTGTCTATGTGTGTGTCCATGGCACCCGCGACACAGGGTTTCCCTAGTGCGGGGCTATGTTGAGTGTGTGCGTTATTATTGCGTTATTATTATTATATGGACGTCGGGTCCGCGCTAAAAAGTGTCCGAACTTATAGGGCGTTAAAATCGTATACAGAGCGTCATTCACGTTTTAGTCTTCGTTTGTTCGACTGACAGCGAAGCAAGCAAAATTAGACAGTACTGCGATGATATTACAATTTACATTCAACGTTTTAGTTTTTTCATATTCCTGTACATGTCACTACGTTTAAATAGGCTGACTTGGGACATTTTTTTCGTGGTTTTTGTATTAGACCCGTCGTCCATTTATTTGTAAGTCAATGGTTATTAACGTCAAAATTCATACTACAGTGTTTTGGTTTGACACGGTAGAGTAGGGTGAGTATTGTTGCGTTCCGTTGGTGCTAGTGAAATTACAGGCACACGGGTCTTTCCAATTTATATCTCAGGGCGACGGGCACAGTGCAGTGGCAGATCTTAGCGATTTAAAACTTCCATCACTTAGTAGCATAAAAAACTATTTTTCAAAATCCACTTTTCCAGCATAAGACGTATAGAGAAATTCAGTGTTTTAATCACCTGTCAAAACCACATACTACATGTTAGGCCACTTGCAAACAGCGCTATGTGACATTTTTAATGATTTTTAGTTAATGGCGTGAAATGTTATGTTCCGTTATTTTGTTTGGTATTTATTATTTTGTCATCACTCGTGTTCATTTATTAAAAACTTGATGGTCAAACATTTCGGAGAAGATTGGTTTACATACGAAATTCTTGAATTGTGTACTCATATTATCGGACAAGTACAATTAAATGTGACCGAAGAAGAAATGACAGATAATGAAGATACATTGATGGTTGACGACGTGGATACAACAGTCTAAAGGAAATTTAAAATTAGATTCAAGTTGTATTTTTTACAATATTATTACAACAAAACTAGCCAAGTTATCATAGTGTTGTTGCAAAACTAGCTGCGTTAATTCTGAACAATTAGAAAACTAGCTATTTTAAGATTTCTGTTGCAAAATATCTCTATATGTTCAATTTTTAAATGGGAATAAAGTAAAAAGTTTAATACTGTGATTTGGTTTCTTCATATTGTTTATCACTTTTTTATCGCAATTTTCACATAATTAAAAAGTAGGTACCATTTTCAAATCCGTTTCGGAACAATAATTGTTTTGTTTTTTTTTAGTTTATAGCTTTTTTATTCACGCACGTAACGCAGTTTGTTAGTGGACTACTCATATCCACTGTGATTACAGAGACATCTATTGGTAAATTTCAAAAGTTTCACGTACTAAATCGAATTTGTTCAAAGGTTTTTTCCCCTCTTCAGTAAATATTTTAAAAAGTAGACGGAAAATCAACGAAATCTGATTTTTATTCGTCGGTTTAGTCAGAGATAATCAGAATTATAGATGTGATGGGTAACATCACATGCAAAGTCGCTGTTATTTTGTCTGGGCTATAAATTTAGGATCTATAAAAGACCCCCTGGAGGCGAAATTATTCTTCACCTGTTTGTGTCCCACACTTTATTATCACGCCACTATGCCTGTGCGCGTGCCGCGGTGTATCTGGCGTGGACACGTCAACCCTGCCCGTCATATAACACATACATTATTATTATGTTCTCATCTAATAAAAAAACTTAGAAGTACATATAACAGATTCAGCA